GAGTGGAGGCAGTGAGCCCTTCCCGTCTCCCGCCGCCTCGGTGCCCCTCCACACCGAACCCCACTTGAGCGAGTGGCCGGCAGTTCAAGGCCTTCCCCAGATGAGTCGGTGGCGCTCAGCTCCACCGTTCTCTCACCTAAGAAGCCAGGTTTTGAATCTCCGCTAGGCTTGTTTGTATCTTGGGTGGTCTGCAAAGACAGGGACCAAAGTCTCTGTTTCTACCGTACCTAAGCAAGATCTAAGGTCCATTCATTTTTACAGTAGAACTGGCACGATTTTAACCTGGTCAGTGTGATCTCCCTCCGAGAAATAGTGAGATGAGGTCTCCAAATGAGGAGCGCGGAAGTCAGAATGTAGCTTCCTGACCCTGGACACATCCGGAAGGCTCTTCGGCCCCAGTGATCCCGAGTAGTGACTGCAGTTACAGGGCAGAATTTAGAAAAGGACGCAGTCATAAACAAAAGAGGGCCTGCTCACTCTGATTTTCTGATGGACCGCTTTGGGGGAAGATAGACAACTGGGGAGTGGACAAACAGGGAGAACTTGAAAACAGATCCCGAAAGCGCTCCGCTCCAGGGCCCCTGCCGCCCTTCCGACCGACGCTGTGTCTCTTTGAAAGGAGGTTCCCTTGGGAGGCGAAATGATTCCTAGCTACACCCACTTTCCTGTGACTCTGCGAACTTCGGTGATGCTGGTTGCTAGTGGCAACTGGAGTGGTTCGTATAAAAGCAAAGGGCATAACCTTTCTCATTATAGATTGGAAGTTAATGTCTGAATTCTTTAAAATCAGTACGTAGGGGGGACCCAGAAGAATGATATTAGAAAATGATTGTGCTCTATGGTTACTGACCGCTTCGACACTGGCATAATGTGGGGGCTGATATAATTGACTTCTGCTTCTCCAAATAACTCCTAAGTGTTTAAAGTGTGCTGTGTGTGTGTATGTGATAGGGGGAGTATTGGAAGCCAAATTTAATAGTGTGATGTGTTTGTTAAGTGAATATTAAAACTAATCTAAATCCTCTTGCTACGGCACTGACAAGGAAGAAGCCTGCATCCTGCAGAGACATAGCAGTAACACAAATGACCTCCAGTCTCCAGGGGCCTGCAGCAGTTGGGCCTCTCCAAAACATCCCTTCGTGTTCCTGAAATAATCACTGTGTGATTATCTGAACAGAGTGCTGTTCAAACAGGTTTATTCTCAAAAGTAAGTCTGAGGGCGAGGGCAAAGGGAGCACTGCAGGCCCGTTTCCTTCCCTGGGAGACAAGCACAGCAGCTGGCACTGACAGACTGAGCATCTGACAAAGAGCTAAGGGAATGAGACACTGCCGCTGTGGGTGCAAAGGCTTCGGGACTTCTTTTATGACCATTTTGGGGTCACTCACATCCCTGCACGAGCTGCCCCACGTGGCTCGAACCTTCTGCTGCCAAGTTCAGAAGGTAGAGGAGACAGTGGCAGTCTTCCGAAGATGAAGGCGGGCCCGGGTGAGTGAGTCACGCTCTCTGCTGCCCTGAGGTGTCCTTTGAAACTCAGTTTCCCACTCAGTCTCCCTGCTCAGCCCCACTGTGTGAAGAGATGCACAAAGGCCATTCTGGGGCAGCCAAGCACCGCAGGCCCTGTGCAGATGACTGAGAGCTGCCGGCGGGTTGCCTGAGCTCCGAGGCTCCTCCTGGTCTCACCTGTGCCACCTTGGCAGGTGTTAAGGGATCGTGCTGCCTGGCCTCCCATGTGATGCCCTTAATCACTGTGGCTGAACAATCAGTGTGTGCTCCTGTCGGGCGTGACTGCCCTCAGAAGGGAGGTTAAGCCAGCTTCGGGGTTTCCTGCTCTTGGTATAAATAAATTCGAGCTGCTGCATTCACAAGTATGCTGGCTCCTTGACATAATAGCCTCTGGACATATCTCGCTATGCTGGGCGACATTTCAGAGGGGGCTTGAAATATTTTCCATGGATTTGAGGATATCAATGGTGCCACGGTAGGGAGCACCAGGCTGATTGGTGCTTGTGTCCTAACTGTCTATTTTGAGAGCTTTCTCACCTTTCAGAGAGCTCTGTTGAATTAGAAACAGAAGGCTCTCGCCTCTAACATCCTGCTGACCCATATTTCCACTCTCCTGCATCTTCTAGAACAACCTGTTAGGACCATCAGACTTGGAAGGAATAGATACATTTTCATTTCTACAAGGTTAGCCCTAACCCTTCGAGCATCTGAGCAAAAAGCCAATAAAAAATTCTCAGTAAAACACTAATACCAAATCTACTTGATTGTAGGCTCTTTCTTAAATGAGGGTACACTTCTGATTTCCAAGAGAAACTTTAGAAAATAGTGTCCTTTTGGTCCTAATTCTAGTCCCTGCATTCTTATTACATCATCATGTAAATGTGTGATGCTCAGACTGGCTCCCTGAATGTCACATGAGATCCGGGTAGGAATGGGAACTCAGAGGCTCCATTGAAGATCTGCAGAAGAGAATCTGTCTCTAGTGAGCCCCCCTGCTGATTGCCGTGCTCTTGAAAGCTTGAGAAGTGTTTTAGGGTATGGGTAGCTGTCCATCCCTCCCTAAAGCCATCCTAGCAGAAGTCTCCAGTGACAACCTACTTGCCAAACTCATGACCTCTCTGCATCTCATCTTTTCTGTCCTCTTTTCTAGCATAACCGCCTGATAATTTAATGTTTTACTGCTGAATCAATCCTCAAACATTCGTAAGAAATCAGTGTATCTTCATGATAATGCATTTAAACTGTAGAAAATAGTACAAAATACAAAGTTAAAATCCCTGTCTCTTCTGCTCTTAACTCTCTGAGGTACCATAGACTTTTGTTTCATTGTTCTCCTATTCCTTTTTAGAAATTTTCTTTAATTAATCAGGTATCTGTAAACATTTTATTGCACAAGTGGTATCTTGCTGAACACACTGTTATGTCACATCTTATTTAACAGTACATTTGGCTCAGTATCAGCACATGTGGAGATCATTCACTCCTCAGAATGTTTTCTTCCCTTATTGAACTGATGGTTCCCCTTCCTGGCTCTCCTCTTGGTCTCTCACCTCTTTTCCAGTCTCTCTTGCTGTGTCCCTTTGGTTCTTCTGGCTTGCTCCAGAGTTCTTTTCTTGTCTGTCCTCCACCCCCATACTCTTGCTCTCAGGGCTGTCTCCCCTGAGGCTTTCAGTGTCTGCATTAAGTGTGTCACCTTCCAAATCATTCACTCCGGAGAACTCCTCTTGCCAGAATTTCCAAGCCGTCTCCCCACTGCGTATTAGATGTCCCATAGACCTCCCCAATTCAATATATCTGTGTCATTTGTCAAAACTTCTTCTTTCTTTCCTGCTCAAATGACGTGATAGTTTTTGAGTGTCACTCAAATCACCATAACTGTAGCCCTCAGAAAAAAAAAACAAACAAAAACCAGTTTAGGAAGGTAATCTGGTCATAGCTATTAGAGTTCTAAATGTTCATAGCTTTTAGATACTATTAGAAGTATCTCACAAAAATATTACAAGAGGTGGCCAAAAAATACTAAATAATATACGTGTGTTATTGTGTCTATAAAGATATCATTTATGTTTGTATAGAGAGATACACACAAGGTGTAATCGAGGTATAATGAGTTTAGATTTTTAGAAGTTGATTACAGTAAAAGACATTGCATTAATCCCCCTTCAAAATACTCCTCCTAGCTTGGAACACACTTATCACACCTTTGTTGCCACTTTCTGAAGCTGTTCTGGAAACCCTCTTTCCTGAGTGTCTTTACAATAAGATGGTGAATGCTGTTGCCAAACGCCATGCAAGAGAAAGGCTCACAGAAATAGTGCGATGTGTCCTTATTTGCCTTATTCACCAGATCTGCCACCGTACATGCAACTTCTGGCTCTTTCTCAATGTCAAAGTGACCGTGAACAGGAAATATTTAGAAGCAGTTCCGGATGTCACGGCAGCCATGACAACATACCTGAAGCCAGTTTGGAAAGAGGACTTCCAGAACCGTTCTAGAAAATGGCAAAAATGATGAGATAAATTTGTTCAGAGTGGGGGGGGTGGCTTTGAAATTAATGGCAATGTGTCTTTTACTGTCATAATTTTTCAACTTTAATATTCACTATGTTTATCGCACTTCGCAGGCATCCTCCTTATTGCACTGTTCACCGTAAATAAAAAACCAGAAACTCCATCAACAGAGAGTTGAGCAGATTATTTTGGCTCATCCATCAATGAAATACAGTAATGTCATTTTAAAGTACTAAAGCTGGATCCCATTAGCCTGAGATAAAGCCAAAATTAACAGGTGCTGACCTGAGTGTAAGCCCTTCACTGGGTGTCCTGCAGGGATGTTTGGTTTAAAATTATCATCCATGTGATCAGAATGCTCTTACTATTTGAAAATTGATCATCAAAATTAAAAAAATACAAAATTTAAAACTTCTCTTAGTGTGACCCTCAAGAATGCACCCAAAAAACCTATTTTGAGAAATACTACTTTTTAGTTAAAGGTGCGAAGGGGACTCAGCTGTTTTTGTCTCTTCTGATCAAACAGACGTAGCTTGCTGTTCATAAGCACCAGAGGCAGCAACATGAGCTTGGAGGGCTCAGTCGGAAAAAGTCTGAAGCTTGGGGTCGGGAGAGTGAATTGCAGGAGCTACCAATTAAGTGGGGACTCCATTCAGAGTAGAGTCTCATCTCTCTAGCATTGATGATGTTTGTTGTTTTCATTGTTACACCAGATATTGCTTCTGGACTACAATATATGGAAGAGAATCAAAATAAATATGAAACAATCCAAAGCCGCTGTTATACAGTTTTATATTTATTTGCTTCTATAAGATTGAATTCATAAATCAGACTGTAAAGTCTTGTGCAGTGTCCTGCTTTCAAGGCACAGATTTCAGGATCATGCCGAGGTCTTAGGCTCTGTTGCTGCAACTGCTGCCTTGTGCCAGTTTGCACCAAGATGCACCGATAATTGTTGGACGAAGTCTGGCTCCTGTGCCAGAGTAAGCCATGTAAATAC